CGTGAGGCGAGAGAAGACGAGAAGAAAGCCAAGAAGGAGAAGGAACAACAGCGGCGCGACTCGCTGGAATCAACAGGGTCGCAGTTATGTCTCGAGGCTGAGCAGCGGGTGGCCAAGCGCCAACGAACATCCAGCAGTGTCACAAAAAAAGAAGAGGCCGACGCCGGCCTCTTGGAACTCCTCGACTTTGAAAAGCAAAGACACTCTGACGACCATGCTTATAGGATGGAGCGTCTTGAGTTTGACAAGGAAGAACAACGAATTCGATTGGCGCAAATGTCCGAGAGCGCTAAGCGCAATGAGCAACTCGAACGATTGTTGATTGAAATGGGAAAGTTGATCCAAGTAGTTGCTGAAAAGGCCAAGTAACTTCATAAACATTTTTGGATCACAAATTTATTCCATGTTAACATTCAAATATTCTTCTAATGTTGGTGGTGTTAAACCGAAGTACACGCTATTGGTATTGCGCCCTCGATCACATGTGATGCAGTTTGTCAACAAAACTGCGACCTTGTACATCTTGGAAATTGGGCTGTTCCCGACGCGCATCTTTTTTTTGAAATCAACAATGGGCCAGTACTGTAGCACCTGCCCAAACGACCACTCCACACTTATTCGCACCCGACTCATGCTCTTGTTTACCTGTTGTTGAGCTGTCGTTAAACGCGCACCACAAAATGGAGAGGCCAACTGATTTGAATAGCCGTAGGCAGGGTCTCCGTAGACCACGTATCCTCTAAAACGATCATCACTGGCAATAGCGTTTTCCAACTTCGATTGGCGCAATATCGTAAGGTCATGGCGTCGACCTTCGATGGGTCCAAATGCATGGGCGATCATTCCATCAGGCGTAACGAGCGTTTGGTATTTCATGGCGTGGCGTCGTTTATGCCCGTTGAATACAGTTCGTTGTCTTTCATTGCCATCCGGCCGACAGCATTCGCGCACGGTCCCATCAATGAAAGCCCAAACGTTCTCTACTTCTGCTCCCTTGGCGACAATGGCTTGGCTGAACCCCGCCAACTTGTTGGAGAGACGATCGCGGTCCAAATACACGATTTCGGCGAAGTGAGAGTAAATGTGATCCAGCACGAATAGGAAAATGTTGCAGAGACCACTGCGTGACCGACCGAACATTGTGATGAGGTCGGACCATCGATCTGGGACGGCAAAACGGCGCAAGAGAATGCAAAGTGCTTCCACTCCAGTGCAGGCAGTTCTTTCTGGTGTGACAATGCGAGTCGGGATCCGTAGATAGGTGACCAGGAGGAGCAGCGTGGATTTGGAGAAACGAAACTTGGAAAGGCAATCGTTGTCGGAGAACGTGTCCAAGGTAAATGTCACATTAGGAATGGTTAGCTGTGTACTGGCGGC